TCAAGTTGCCCTAAAGTCAACTGTAATTTAAGTATCAAAGAGACTAAAATTGTCGTACCTTGGACCACATGCTAAAGACCATCTCCGGTTTGCCTGTCACATGCAGCAACATGGTGACTCTAACATCAGTGATAACGATGGCACCTTTTTTTTTCTTTCAGTGCCTTTATTTCCACTGAGTCAGAGGTTACGCAAGATAGGGGTCAGTGAATCTACTATCTTGTAGATTGCTGACTGTCTGTTGGACAGGTCTCAGATTGTGTGGCAGGGGAAGTGCCAGCTTGACGTGGTGGTTAGTAACACAGGAGTGCCACTGGGACTGCTCAGTCCTTGGTTCTATTTCTTTGTACATCTCAGATTTCTATTATAACTCCCCAATCTGCTGAAGTTCTTTAACAATTTTAAAGTGCTGACTCAGACAGTATGATTGTCTGCTCCTAAATATAACAAGAAAGAGGAAATGATGGCTGATTTTAGGGGGAAAAGAATTGTGACCAAGCCCATGAAAAGCACAGGTGAGGAGGCTGGAATAATTCAGAGCTACTAGTGGTTGGGATTCGATTTGAACAATCAACAGGATTGAAGGAGCAACACCATGGTTGTGCAGATGCATACTATGTACTCAGTTTTTTTGGTGTTTTCACGAGGATGCTGGAAATCTACTAACAATCTGTAGTTCTGTCTGCATTGTTTTTGTCTGCCATGGTACCAGCTGTAGAGATACCAGATCAATAAACCAATTCAGAAGGCTGAAACTAGTATCTATCTATCTATCTATCTATCTATCTATCTATCTATCTATCTATCTATCTATCTATCTATCTATCTATCTATCTATCTATCTATCTATCTATCTATCTATCTATCTATCTATCTATCTATTAGGGGTGGGGGAAAAATCGATACTGTGTAGTATCGTGATATTTTGTTTGCTAATGTTACAAAAAAGTTTTTGTGGACTGGAACATGCTCTGACTTCAGAGCATGTTGATCCTTTTTCTGAGCAAGAATCCTGACATTTCTTCACTGTCCAAATGTGTTTAACTTTTTTTGGCAGCAATAAACATGACAGTTTACTTATTTTCATTTAAGACATGTTTTATTTTAATTAAGTTTAAAACTTTTTTATTTAATGTAAAATTATATTTTGTTTTAATTTACTTTCAAATTCTTCAGTTGCTGAAGGGGCTGCATAGTTTTCACAAATTTCATAGTTCAGAATAGCTATAATTGTACCAGATAGTAAGTTGGACTAGACTGTAATACAAACCGTTCAGTTTTCAACAATAAAACTGACTGAAATGAGAGAAAGACTGAGTGTGAGACTTTGTTATTAGATTAAATGAATATTGATAAAGTTTACCTTTATGTACAGACTCTGAATATCGCAAAATATTTTTAAAAATTGCAACAATATCGTATCGTGCATTAAGTATTGTGATAATATCGTATCGTGGGATGTATGGTGATTCCCACCTCTACTATCTATCTACATCAAAACGTGGAGAATCGTTATGAGATGTTTGAAAAAAATCATCAGTGAGGCCATGATGTTTTATTTTCTCTTGTGGGTAATGTTTAAATACAGTCTAACATAATCCTAAAAGTAAGTTATTAGAGCCAGACCTCTGTGATGTATGACAACGTGCCATTTGTATTTTCTTGCCTTAAGGCTATCTCTGATATTTGTTCTCAAAATCCTCATATTCCCTCACAGAATTTAGTGCATGCAAATGCATCCAGTATCTCTCTGTCAATGAGGGACTGGATGGTTGACACCCCATCCAGTTGTTAAACCCTCCCTGTGGTTCTCTTCCAAATTATTTGGCTCTCCTTGTGATGACATTCATCGGTTTCCTACACTGAACAGTTCTCTTAGGACCTGGGTAATAGTGATTAACCAAGTATGTTATCTTCTCCCAAGCTAATTTAACATCACCGTCCTTAGTGGCTTATTTACTTTGATTTGCTCCTTGTGAATCAGCATTTCATGCACGTGAGCATAAGCGTGTTCATGGGAGAAATGTGGCAAATGCTCTCTGTAGCTTTCATATATAAACTGAAAGACTTTTAAACCTTCAAAAAAGAGTGTATCTGATTCCTAATCCCATCACATTTCCAGCTGTGCAGCTGGTTCACTGCACCACATGCCTCAGCCCCTCAAATACCACAAGTCCATCACCTTGCCCCATGTGGACATTGCTTTTCACCAATGAGCACTGATTCATGAAGGTGCGGCCCTCACATTTTAAAGGCTTCACACAGTCAATGCGTAAACTATTATTTTAACACAGTACTACTAATAAAAAGCATCGTAAAAAATTTAATATAAATTGACCGACTATACATAGTTACTCAGCATTTAGTATAACCACTTACTCGTGCTCGGTCGAGACTCAGTTTTATCAGGTACATTTTGGTACAGAGTGTGAAAATGTTCAGATGGGAAACTCACAAAGCCAGCAGGAAAAAAATCTGTCGTGAGATAATTTTTTTTGGCAGTACAAGAGAGACAGCCATCTATGTATGAATAAACCTGACTGAGGATTTACTCTGTCAGGTGGCCATATGAATGTAAATGCGCTCACTAAGAGGTTTCAGACTAATGCTCCAGGTGGTGGAAATGACAGAGTACTGGGTCAGCTGTAGACATGGTTTTTATGGTAGTGCAACTGCTAAGAGCACAAAGTAACTAAATCAAGTGTTGCAGTAAGTCAGTAAGTAATAGTGAGAAAGACGACCAGTTAGTCATTAATATAATAAATAGGCACATAAGGATGTGTAAGGTGAATTCTGTACATGAAGAAGATGTATATTTTTACTGTACAGTGATCCTGTGATTCTTCATAAATCCTCAACAAATTATGCTTGCTGTGTTTGGTGTATGTAACATATACATACACATGTATGAAATGTTATATGTATATACAGTATACAGAAAATACACATGCTATACAGTATGGAATATTCCTATTAACTACATAATAGTAATATTACTTTCTACCAATTTTCAATTTAGTCGCATTTTGATTCATTCATGACCAGAATATATAATTAATTCTAATTAAATAATTAGTAATAAATTAAAACTTTAAAACGTCCATGAGCGTTATGCACAGAGCTGTCACAGCAGGTCAGCCTTTATCTGAAAACCACTATACCAGCTACTTTATAGGAGAAATATCCACTGATTTTATGTATATGAATAACTCAAAAGCAAACACATTTGTGAAGGAAGCAATGCACTCTCCAACCATAGTAATGTACACAAAGAGCTACGCACAAACTTTCATGAAAATGCATCATGCAAACAGCATTTGTCTCTAAATTAGCAATTAAAAATGGAGAAACTTTGATTTGTCATTTCCATTATTTATTGGCCTGTTGTACTGGATGTGCATGTAGTTCTCAGATAACAATATAACTCATAACTCATTAAAGAATTGTTATTAATTATAAAGTAGACTGCTGTATGCAGACAGCACTCCTATAAACCGTTTAAAAAATTTAATTTATATATTAAAAAAAAAATCTCACATTTTCTTTTGACATGGCATTACAAAAATGCTCACTGCTCATTTTAGCACAATCACAAAAGTATTAATCCCTGGTCAGTATTTCTTCTCTCTGTCTCATTATATTGTTTCATTCTGACAGCCAAGCTCAAATTAGTCTAACGTAATTAACATAAAACATGACTGCTATTAAAGCGGGAATAAAGTGTTATTGGAGGAAAGTTGAAATTTCATTACAATCAGCTTATACTTCAAATATGGCAGTGTGATTATTGCTAGTTATATAAGTTGATATTCAAATGATCTCTGATTCTTCCAAGTATTTTTGCAAGGAGATGAAACATTGTTTAAATAATAAAAAATATAGAATTAATTTAACTGACGTGCTAATTTGAGCCATGACATGACAGAAGAAAAAGAAATATAATAATAATAATTAAAAAAAAGAAAAAACCTTCCCCATCCGTATACTATGATTAGTTTAACTTTGGCAATCAAGCAGTTCATCATGTATTTAACTGGAAAAGATTAGGCCCATTAAATTTTCCCTGCTCTTTTATGATGTGTTATTGTGTAATAAACCATGAAGGGAGGGGAAATTTTTGCATAGAGTAGCACTTAATAGCACACTGTTGCTCCACGGCCAGGGGCCAGAGTTCTTAAATGCAATTACTGATGAAAATCTTTTTTTTTCTTATCGGAAACTGCAAGGCATAATTTCAGTGTCAAATAGATATTTTCATTCAAAAGCACAAGGAGTACAAAGAGAAAATGAATAATTTTTAATGTACAAATTTTTTTTTCCACTTTTAATTTAACAGTATTTAAGTATTAAACTGGGTTAGTAATGCTATAGCATGCACATGTTATGTATATGCTTCCCAATGAGAGGCAGGTTTCTGGCTGGTGCTTTTAGATGAACTTTTCCTATTGATTCTTTTGCTTTTATTGTGTATTGTTTGTGACATATTTACAGAACAACATTATATGTAATAATAAGATTTGTGTGATGACAAAAGCAGTGGTCTAACTGAAAGTTTCTTCTGGTAATAACTGCCACCATTGGTCAAAGGGAGATGTTGATCTTGCATGTTAGTGGATGAGTGTCATAACAAGTCAAGTTGCCTCTAACCCTGTCAGAAATTATAATGATAGCTATTACATAACTGGAGAAAGTGTTAATAAAAAACAAAAACAAAAAACAGTCTATGTATGAAGAGGCAGAATGTGCATGTTTTCCTAAGAACAAAGAAAAAAAAATCCAGACATGGAGGGGGCGCAAAGCTAAGAAAGAGCAGAAAATAAATATACACCATGTCACAGTGAAGTGACAATGACAAGGGCACTGTCTTATTTGTTCGGTACAAGACAATTAACCTAACTCTATGACATCTTCTTGTACCGCTAAAATAGACTTTGTCATGTAACAACTCTCTTTCTCTGCATCTCCTTCCCCCCCTTCCCTCTGCTCTTCTCTCCCATCAGGTCTCCACATAATGGAGCGAGAATGAACAGAGAGCGGCTTAAAAAAAAGCATGAACTGGAGGTTTATTGAGGTCATCTGCTTCCTGTTTATATGGGACCATATAACAGTTCAGTCTTCCCGCCAGGATCCGTTGGCCACTGAACAACATGTCACCAAGCAATATGACTGGCTCATCTCTGACCGCGGACCTTTCCACCACTCTCGGAGTTATCTGTCCTTTGTGGAAAGATTCCGCCAAGGATTTACGACTAGATATAAAATTTATAGGTGAGTTCACTTTCAGCCTGTGTACTGATGCCACTCATGCTTTTTAGGGGAATGTCTTTTTACGGCTTTGCTATTTTCAGATTTTGAGATTTTAGTTGCAAAAAGCTGAACTCTGTACATCTTTAACCCATTAAGTGTACTTTTTTATATTTAGATGCAGCCAGTCTCACCCCCGTGAAATTGTTTTATTATATTAATGAAGTGCGGATAAGACTCCTTGCTTTAGCTTGCTACTGTAGACCAATACACTGTAGACAACAGAGTAGGTTTTTAATGTTGAAGCAGTATCCTTAAAATGACTTTCGTGCTAAGACACCAAAAAAGTCAAGAGAATGGAGTCAGTCAGCTATCAGTTTCTGGTGAATTTTTATTTTAATTTTCAATGTAATTTATTTTAATTTTATTTACATACCACTGAATCACAGCAACAGTTGTCTCAAGGGGATTTTTATTGTAAAGCAAAGACCCTACAATAACATAGGCAAAACTTGGCATTTACATCCAGTCTGTTTGTCCTGTCATCCTCCTTTCACCGCAAACCGAATGCAGTATATGATTGGCCGTCCCTGAGCAAGATCCTAGCAGAAGCTTCTTCCTGTTAAAAGGGAGTTTTTCCTTCCCATCATCACCAAGTTTTTACTGACAGGGGGTCATCTGAATGTTGGTTTTTTTCTATAATATATTTAGGTCTTTGCGTTAAGAAATAAAGGGTCATGAGGTTACTGTTGAATTGAATTGAATTGAATCACATGGTGATTAATTGTGATAAATCATTAGAAATTGTAAATTTGTTGTCATCTACATATATAGGAATACCAACTGGGTTGGAATTGATATTTTAAAATTAGTCCATCAACATACTGCACAACTATTCCTAAAATTAGTTTATTTATCATTAAGTCAATTTTTGGGGTCTGTGGGATAAAAAGAAAAAATGCAGCCACATATACAAAATAATATAAAAATAAAAATAATAATAAAAGAAGAAAAAAAGATACAAATTAAAGCTAATATATTTCAATATTACTTCACCTGTAGTGATTCAGTTACATACAGTGGGGCAAAAAAGTATTTAGTCAGCCACCGATTGTGCAAGTTCCCCCACCTAAAATGATGACAGAGGTCAGTAATTTGCACCAGAGGTACACTTCAACTGTGAGAGACAGAATGTGAAAAAAAAATCCATGAATCCACATGGTAGGATTTGTAAAGAATTTATTCGTAAATCAGGGTGGAAAATAAGTATTTGGTCAATAACAAAAATACAACTCAATACTTTGTAACATAACCTTTGTTGGCAATAACAGAGGTCAAACGTTTACTATAGGTCTTTACCAGGTTTGCACACACAGTAGCTGGTATTTTGGCCCATTCCTCCATGCAGATCTTCTCGAGAGCAGTGATGTTTTGGGGCTGTCGCCGAGCAACACGGACTTTCAACTCCCGCCACAGATTTTCTATGGGGTTGAGGTCTGGAGACTGGCTAGGCCACTCCAGGACTTTCAAATGCTTCTTACGGAGCCACTCCTTTGTTGCCCGGGCGGTGTGTTTTGGATCATTGTCATGTTGGAAGACCCAGCCTCGTTTCATCTTCAAAGTTCTCACTGATGGAAGGAGGTTTTGGCTCAAAATCTCACGATACATGGCCCCATTCATTCTGTCCTTAACACGGATCAGTCGTCCTGTCCCCTTGGCAGAAAAACAGCCCCATAGCATGATGTTTCCACCCCCATGCTTCACAGTAGGTATGGTGTTCTTGGGATGCAACTCAGTATTCTTCTTCCTCCAAACACGACGAGTTGAGTTTATACCAAAAAGTTCTACTTTGGTTTCATCTGACCACATGACATTCTCCCAATCCTCTGCTGTATCATCCATGTGCTCTCTGGCAAACTTCAGACGGGCCTGGACATGCACTGGCTTCAGCAGCGGAACACATCTGGCACTGCGGGATTTGATTCCCTGCTGTTGTAGTGTGTTACTGATGGTGACCTTTGTTACTTTGGTCCCAGCTCTCTGCAGGTCATTCACCAGGTCTTGGTGGTTCTGGGATCTTTGCTCACCGTTCTCATGATCATTTTGGCCCCACGGGATGAGATCTTGCGTGGAGCGCCAGATCGAGGGAGATTATCAGTGGTCTTGTATGTCTTCCATTTTCTGATGATTGCTCCCACAGTTGATTTTTTCACACCAAGCTGCTTGCCTATTGTAGATTCACTCTTCCCAGTCTGGTGCAGGTCTACAATACTTTTCCTGGTGTCCTTAGAAAGCTCTTTGGTCTTGGCCATGGCGGAGTTTGGAGTCTGACTGTTTGAGGCTGTGGACAGGTGTCTTTTATACAGATGATGAGTTCAAACTGGTGCCATTCATACAGGTAACGAGTGGGGACAGAAAAGCCTCTTACAGAGGACGTTACAGGTCTGTGAGAGCCAGAGATTTTCCTTGTTTGAGGTGACCAAATACTTATTTTCCACCCTAATTTACGAATAAATTCTTTACAAATCCTACCATGTGAATTCATGGATTTTTTTTTCACATTCTGTCTCTCACAGTTGAAGTGTACCTCTGGTGCAAATTACTGACCTCTGTCATCATTTTAAGTGGGGGAACTTGCACAATCGGTGGCTGACTAAATACTTTTTTGCCCCACTGTACCTAGAACCTTCAAGGACGTTATTTTGACCCCACAGAAATTAATTTAAAACAGCAATTGTGGCATGCCAAACTGCTTAGCAACATATATTGCTTACTCATAAACTTACAAGACTGTGCGAAGTGTATATCTAGAGAAAAGAAGAATAATTACTGCAGGGCAAAACAGGTCACCGATGGGATGTTGAGCTGGGTCAGAGTGGGGGTGCGCGTGACGGTACACATGGAGAACCTGGCAAGTTACCGGCTGTGCAGAGCAGCAGGGGAACTGTAGCTGAACTGAGCAGAGAGTCCAGAGTGTGGAGTACTAATCCTAGGAAATAAAGAGTGAAATCCAGAGCAGAGCAGCCGAATCGGATGGGTTTCAGCCTGATGAGCCTGGCTGAGGAGGGGTGTGGATTGAGCAGTGTGGACAGTGGATGACAGAGATGCAGGTCAGGTAAAGTAGAGGCAGATGTGAATGGTGTGATAAACTTTGACTGCTGTACTTTTACAGTAACTCTGTGATTATTTTTTAAATGTAGGCAATGGCTGGTTCAGTCTGTTTCACAGTGAGCACTTTTTTTTAATTTTAATGTAACTAATACCACCTGTGTCGCAAAAATAATCTTTTAGGTTTTCCATACTGTTCTCCTGCAATAGTGAAATTATTGTGTGATGTTGCGAGCCATTTTTATTAGTAAATTGAAATACAAGTTTTTAACTTTATGATAATCGAAATAATTTATAAAACTGGTAAAATAAAAACCTCCAATGATTTTTTAATCCCCTGATAAATTTGTAAGCATGCTCATTTACAAAAAGTGAACAGTTTCTATTTTTTTATTGTAGTTTCATTTCAATTGAGACAGACAGAACATCAACCAAAAACCCAGACAAAACGCTCCATAAACATTATGAATAGATTGGCATGTCATTGAGTGAAGTAAGTATTTGATCCCCTTCAAACCAGACAGATTTCTGGCTCCAACAGATTGGCCGTGTGCCCGTGTGATAAACAGATCACAAAGAATCAGTCAAATACAGATACTCATCATCTTGATTCATAACTCATTATGTCCATAAAAGAAAACCTGTCAACAGATTCAGTTTCTTACATTACAACCTCTCCACCACCAAAGACCAGTCAAAGGATGTCGGAGACAAGACCGTAGACCTGCACATGGCTGTAATGTGCTCAAAGACAGCAAAAAGCTTGTTGAGAATTAGAAATAAAATGACCGTCAATCACCTTCATTCTGGAGCTCCATTCAAGGTCTTGCTTCATGGGGTGAGGATGATCATGAGAATGTGAGAAAGGTGTTGGATTATCCCAGAACTACATAACACATAACACCATAATTAGTTGAAATCTTGCAAAGTCCACAAGGTCCCTCTGCTCAAGAAGGCACATGTACAGGCCTGTCTTATGCTTGCCAGTGAACATCTAAATGATTCAGAAAAGGGCTGGGATAAAATGGTGCAGTCAGATGAAACCAAAACTGAGCTCTTTTGCTTGAACTTGAACCGCCATGTTGGGAGGAAGAGACATGCTTAATTTGACCCAAAGAATACTATCCTTCACAGTCAAGCACAAATGTGGAAACCTTATGCTGTTTTTCTTATAAGGGTATAGGACAACTTTATTGCATTGAGAGGCCAATGGATGGGGCCATCTACCATAAAATCCTGGATGACAAACCTATTTCTCTCAGCCAGAACACAAAAGGAGGGTGTGAAAGCTTGAAGTTGACAAGGGGCAGCCAAAAAGCTAAAGGGAGAGTTTTGAGAGTATCAAAAAGAGGAATGGGCCAAAATCCCTCCTGAGATATGTGCAAACCTGGTGACAAACTATAAGAAATGGCTTACTGCTTTGCTTGCCAGCAAGGGTTTCTCCAAAAAGTACTAAGCTATGTTTTCTTAAAGACCAAATACTTATTTCACTAAATAACGTGCAAATTAATTTATAATTTTTATGTAATGTGCTTTTTCTGGATTTGTGGTTAATATTTTGCCTCTCACTAGTAAAGTGAAACTGCCATAAAAATTGGAGACTGTTCATGTCTTTGTAAGTGGGCAAACTAACAAATTCGGTAGGGGAATAATGAATCATTTTCCCCGTTATATTTAGTCAAATCTTATTCATAATTAGAGAAATATCAGCTCAATTTCTTCAACTTCTTGTTTAACTGCAAAAATATTTAACTGCAAGAGGACATAGGTGCTTGGCAAGCTTGCTTTAAATAGGAATATAACAACTAGTTGGCAGCCAGGTCAAGTCCCCTATTGCAAAGACTTATGTCACAGATGAGCTGGACTCATCGATTGTCTGATAGATCTGTCTGTGTTTATGAATTAGATGGTCATTA